GTTACTTGCCTGGGATTGTTTGACCTTTGGGTGCTTGGTATTTTAAAAACATCGTTTTTTAAAAATGTTTATTCATTTTTCAGAGACAGAGAGAGACAGAGCATGAGCAGGGAAGTGGCAGAGAGAGAGAGAAACACAGAATCCAAAGCAGGCTCCAGGTTTTGAGCTGTCAGCACAGAGCCCAGTGTGGGGCTCAAACCCACAAACTGTGAGATCATGACCAGAGCTGAAGTCGAACGCTTAACTGACTAAGGTGCCCCTGAGTGCCTGATATTTTGATTGTCTAGTACATCTGTACTTTCCTCAATTTCATTGTCCCCTGCAAACTGTTTTTACCACTACAGTTTACAGCATATAACTAGCTAATAGTTTAAGGTTTTGTTATGTTTAATTGCACCGTTTTATAAAGGCTTTCATCATGTAATACATTTATTGAGCACTTAATAATAATGCTAACATTTATGTAGTGCTTACCTTGAGCCTGACATTTTACTTTTTTGAACTTAAAGTATAATTTACATACATGCACCTTAAGTCCTTCAAGAATTTTTATATACCACTGTCAGTTCAAGGTGTAGACTGTCCCCTAACCCTCTAGAAGTAGCAGATACTTTAGGTTTTATGGGCCATTTGCTCTTTGTTGCGACTACTCAATTCTGCCATTGTAGAATGAAAACCGATGTAGAAATCCATAAATGGATGAAGGTGATAGTATTCCAGTAAAACCTTAGCCGGGTTTGACCATGAGCTATAGTTTGTCAGTTAATCTCTGCCCTAAAAGACTATCAGGCAGGCATTTTGCATTAAACCTTCCCAGTGACCATCTGAGGTAGATATTGTTTTTTATAGCTTTATTGATATATAATAGGCAATACAACAAATGTACCATTTGATGTTTGACATGTAAACATTAGTGAAACATCACTGTAACAAGATTGCAAAAGTATTTCCTCTTGCCCCTTTTGAACCCATCTCTCTGCCTTGCCCAAGACAATCACTGATAGGCTTCCTCGTACTAAGACACTATAGTTTTTATTTTTAAGGATTTGATATAAATGCATTCAAAAAACATTACCTGTTCCCTCTCTGGTCTAGTTTCTTTTACTCAGCATAATTATTTTGAGATTCATCCATTTTGTTATTTTTATCCATAGTTTATTCTTTTCCTCTCTGTTGTTATATTCCATTGTATGAATATACTTTATTCATTACTGTTTTGGCTATTAAAAATAAAACATCTCTGAGCATTCATGAGCATGACTTTGTGTTGACATGTGCTTTCATTTTCTTTGGGCAAATACCTGGCAGTAGAATGTGTTGGTTGTATGGTAGATGTATGTTTATATTTTTAAGAAACTTTCAAATCGTTTGCCAAGCGGATGCATTATTTTAAATTCTTACTCTTACCAGCAGTGTGTAAGAGTCCTTATTGCTCCACATCTTCATCAATACTTTGTAAAATCAGACTTTTTACTCTAGCCATTCTTGTGGGCATGAAGGGGAAGCTGGTTGTGATTTAAAGATTTATTTTTATTTTTAATTTTTTAGAGAGAACATGAGCAGAGGACTGGGTGGGGAGAGAGAGACAGCAACAGTCTTAAGCAGAATCCATGTTCAGCACAGAAGCTGAATCCCACAACCCTGAGCTGAAATCAAGAATTAGGCGCTCATCTGACTGAGCCACCCAGGCACGCTGGTTGTGATTTAAATGTGCATTTCCCAATAATTAATGATCCTAGGCATCTTTTCCTCTGCTTATTTGGCATTGTATGCATTCCTTTATAAGGCACCTATTCCAGTCTTTTGCTTACTTTATTCATTAGTTTTTTTTAATCTTACTTTGGAGTGTTGAGAGTTCTTCATGTGTATGGGTATAAGTCCTTTACCAGATAAAGGATTTGCATTTTTTCTCCCAATTTGTAGCTTTCCTTTTCATTTGCTTAATAGCATAATTGAAACTATTTTGAGTTGCCATATAGAGTGGTTTTTAGAAAGCACACTGTGAGGCTATCAGAGAGTTTTGAATCCTAACCTTAGAACCTAAAGAAAATAACTTGATATTTCTAAGCCACAGAGTCCACCTTGAAAATTCCTTGTCATACACATTTCTGATTTTCTTATGTGTTACCAGAAAGTTTATGTAAATACAAATTTGAATATGATTTAGTATGATAGTTTGAAAGAAATATTTTTATGGATATATAGATGATTCAGTTAACAAAGCAACAGTCACTAAACTGTAATCTTTATTTCTGGATTTCTGTACTTTTACTAGTTTGGCACCCTGCCGTCTTTTCTAAATTGAAGGGATAGTCCAAAAGAGTACTTTCTTATAATATGAAATAATCATCTAATCTGGACTATCTTAATGAGGCTAATTTCCCTTGTTGCCATAGTCATTTTGTACTTAATATTTAAATTTTATAAAAAACAAAAATTGGTAGTATGTGTTCTCTAGTTAAAATTGAAGTCAGAACCACTTTAAGGCATCTACATAGTTTTTTTTGCAGCATAGTGATATTGACTTTGATCCGTTGGTATACCCTCTGTGAACACATGGTGTGCTACTCTGAAGCATATATGTAAAGAAAATGGTTCATTGTTAACTTCTTATAAATGTGATCAAATTGTGATCAAATACCTATACAGTTGGCTGGGCAGATTTACATTACCAATAAAACATATATATGATAGTGGGGTTTCATATGTGACTGTTAGAATAAAATTCAGACATCTGAACTAGCATAGTACAATTTCAGATAAGCCCATATGAGGAGTTACAACAAACCAAATGAACTTCCAAGTTTTTCCATTTAGGCCAGCCTAATTATTTCATTAAGTAATATCTAACATTGTAGAATTTGGAGGAGAAAGAATACTTTTTGTGGGTAGCTTTGCATTTGTTACTATTGATGAAATGTAGATAGTGTTTTTTCATCATGTGTTTTAACAGGAAAGTGTCCTGTTGGCCTTGTTTTTAATCATTGATCAGAGTTTCATATCTTAGATTCGCATCGATTGCCAGTCATATTTCTTTAGTACTCTAGTCAGTAATAGTCAGTAACTTGACAGACTGAAGGTAAACGCCTTAGAAGTCAGGGCAACTGCCAGATAATTCAGAATGGCTGGCAACAGGGGTGCATGGGATTCAGAAGACCTGGGTTCTAGTCTTAGGTAGTCAGTGCTACTGTAATCCTGGCCAAGCAGTTCTTTGTGTGGTTTATCATCTGTCAGATGAAGATAAGGATCCTTCCTATGTCAAAGAACAGTGTGATACCAGATGGAAAGATGCAGGGGACCAGCCTCTGCAAGCCAGGGTTGGCCCGGAGAGTGATGGTTAACATCGGTGAAAGAAGACATGGAGCCAGCCTCTTCAGGTGGACTGCTCAAATTTATTTTTCAGCTTAGGGTTTTTATGTAGCAAATTCAAACAATCATGCTTAAACAATTTACAATTTTTGAGTACAGTCATAGGACTTAACATTTCTAAGTTTTCTTGGCAACAGTGATTTCATGGTATGTAATTTCCAGTTCAACCAATAAAATTTAACCAGGTAGTCATAACAAAGTTTTACACATTCTTTACTACGTATGACAGGGTATCTAAGGATAAGTGAAGCATATTGCCAGAATACATGAGATCACGGTGCCCTTTAATTGTTCAAATTCAGTGGGCATGCAAAAACAGGATATACTTGTACCCGCGGTTGTAGGTAAGAGGCTCTCACAACCCCTTACTAAGAAAGAACAATGTCAACGTTTATCATAGATGACGTATGGAAATGTTTTACGTGGATCAACTAGAATTTGGTCTCTGCATTTACCAATCTCATTCTTTGACCAGAACAATCCATAAATTGCCTTACAGGCTTGAGGTCAGCAGGCAAATATTTCTCTAACACTTTTTTGAGAAAGCCCTCCATAACTAGTAAGTCTTGTTTTTGTCTCTGCTTTTGGCATAATATGTATTCTTACTGGCAATTAGACTCATACAAGGAAAATGAATTCTAGGTCTCTTATAGACCCAATGCATACCGGACTGTCTCCAATTTTGTAATTGCTACAATATTCATTAGACAGCATCTGATTGAGGGGGCAGACATGATATTTAGGTGCATTCCATTTTGCAGGAAGGGGGGAACTTTGGGCGATTCTGGTTTCATATTAACCCTAGAATAGACTAACAGCAGAAGTGAGAGTAAAAGGTACAGACAAAGTAGAGAAGAAGAATTCTTCCGGGGGTTCTTCTGACTGCATTGCAGTCTCCTCCCTGGGCCTTGCCATCAGGGATGACCTGTGCAGTTTCGGTCTCCGGCAGAAAGAGAACACTTTGCAAAGTCCTATGTGGTATGTGAAGCAGTAGGATTATCCCCAAACTATTTAACATGTTATTTTAAAAGTATGATATTTGAAGAACTCTGCAGTTGATCCTTCTTTCAATCACACAGATAATTGTGCCACTTTTTGTTAGTAGGTTTGCACGCATCTGCCTTCTTAGAGGACAGCAATCTTGCAAGCAGCGTGTAAAGTGGGTACAGGCTAGAGATGAGGACGAAAGATGAGCTCCTTTATCTCTTATCCAGTCCTAGTCTTTTTGACTGCATTTTACCCACCATACTTATCTTCTTCCTGCAAGCTTCACTTTCTTCTGTTCTCGTCTCTTCTCCCCTCCACTCCCAGCTTTCTTTTTCTCTTTAGTACCTCTTCTCTTAGACTGGGGAAAGTGGGGAGAAATGCTGGGCTCTATAGTTTAAGGCACCATCATCTGGATGTTTATGGAGCCTGCGTTGTATAAGCACAGAATGTAACGCTAGTTAGTTGTGTACTCAGACCACATGACTGGCCACGTGGTTCTGTGCATCCTTCCTCCCACCAGTTTCTTTGCTATGGAATGGGACACTGGTGTTTACAGCTCTATACCTAGGGTCAGAGGGCTTTTATCTAAATATAGGCTCATTCTGAATTATGAGTTCTTAAACTCTTATTATATTTACTTCTAGGGCAGGAGCGGTTTGGCAACATGACCCGAGTATACTACAAAGAAGCTGTTGGTGCTTTCGTAGTCTTTGATATATCAAGAGGTTCCACGTTTGAGGCCGTCTTAAAATGGAAGAGTGATCTGGACAGTAAAGTCCATCTTCCAAATGGCAGTCCTATTCCTGCTCTACTTTTAGCTAATAAATGTGACCAGAAAAAGGACGGTGGTCAGAGCCCTCCCCAGTTGGACCAGTTCTGCAAAGAACATGGTTTCATTGGATGGTTTGAAACCTCGGCAAAGGTGAGGTCTGCTTCATGTTTGTATCTGCTCTGCTCTTAACTTGTAAATCTGAGTTATAGCTATAAAATATTTAGATGGGTTTATGTGAGTGGATTTGGGGAGCCTAATAAAAAGCAAAGCGTAGCATAGATATGTTATAGCTTCCTTTAGTGGGCAGCAGAAATGCTTTCAAAATTGGCTAGTGGGGAGATGAATAGAAGGACATGTTTTCCATCAGAATAAAAATTAGCTCTTATTTAGAGTAAAGGACAATGACATTCTCTGAGTTTGAGCCTTTAAATGGAGCACTTATGCACCTGGAGCTTATGGGGGATTAGAGATCTTGTCAAGCACAAGCATTTTTGATATTTTCTGAAGGCTTAACGAAATATAGAGACATAGATGACCCTGGTAAATATGTGGATCCTGTGCATTACTAACAAAAATGGACGTGAGAATGTCATTCAGATGACGTTTGAAGAGTTTCAGATTAATTGTGTATGAAAGACTTTGAACAGGAAGCAGTGTCAACATTTGTGATGTGCTTCTTCGTGAATAGAAGAAAGAAAATTCTTCCTTTCATCTATTATGGGATAAATATTTTTTGAAGAAAACCAAAAGCACTTAAGTCAGCTGTTAAAAATCTTGCCAGTCCAGATATACAAGAAAGCAAAGTGGAATTCACAAGCCCAAAACATTCCTGGGGAGGGAACTTGGTTATTCACGTTGGGAATTTCCCATTAGAGGTCAAATAACAATAGGACTTACATAAGAATGATGAAATGTTTGAGAAATTCTGTAATGACAAGCAAAATCCGAAACCAGAAGACTGGCATATCTTAACACAGTCCAGCATTTGGGATGCCTCTGTGGATTTCTTGCAGATTTTTTTTTATTATCAAAAATAAGTATAAAACAAATGTGACTGGATTTATCTACTGGTCTAAGTCCCTGCTTACTCTTAGGTTACTTTAAGCTTTGCTAGAAACCCACCCTCATTGCAGAAGACCATTGGGTGCCACTGATGACCAGAATAATGAAAGGAAAGCTATGAGAGATTGCACAGAAAAGCTGCTCTGGAGATAATTGATGATTTTGGAGTCATCGGCAGAACTAGTGTCTGCTGGAGGCAGAAGTTTTTGCTCCTAAACTAAAGGCTATCTGTTTTTAAAGATATTCTAGAATCTTAAAATTTCATTTCATGGATAGAAAGTAGCAGCAGAAGAAAGTTGCAGTGCAGGGGTGGCTGCTGCAGGAACAGCCCGGCAGGAAGGCAGAAATGGCAGAAGTGGGAGAGGCTACTCCTGGAGGCCCTTGTCCCGGAAGCCATCCTTCTGTTTGTGGCGTGTCCTTCGTGTGATTTGCTTTACTTCCCAGCTTTGTCACCAAATAATAATAATAAGTGGTATGTGTGATGTTTATTAGAGCATGAGATCTGGTGGAAGAGATGGCACATATTACCGATAAAATTTCTTCTCTAAGTTTCATTTGAATTAATCATTCAGGTAATAAATCCAGATTTGTCCCCAGAATCTAGATGGAAGATTCACAGATGATCATGTCATGTGACCTGCAGCTTGAGATTGTCATATTTATAGACAGGGGTACATGTGGAGGTGAGAAGGGAAGCACTGGTTAACAAAAGTGTCAGATATGTTCTGTGCTTTCCTACAAATATATTAACAACGCCTTCTGCAGAATTTCCTTAGTAGTAAACCAGGAATGTTCCAAGAGAATAACAGTAACATAAAATCCAGACTAAAAATTTTAGTCAAGCCTTAAAGTACTGCCCAAGTGTTACTAATGCCTGTATTTCTGAACTGGCTGGCGCTAACTTCACATCTGATTTCTGCTTGAATTCCAGTGATCTGAATTTTAATGGGAACACAACCAAAAGACAGTTTTGAATTTCTGAACTTCGTCTTTTCATCTTTATAGCAAGTAATGGATTTCCACCATGAAAATGCGTGACTAATTACAATGTGGAAGTTTCCGTTTCTAATCAGTTGCTACTAAATGCAGTTAGAGAGCATTGTACTTCTTTGGGATAACAGGAAGGGTGGGGACCAAGTGACATTTGGACATTCAGAGATCAATACTTCAATTAAAGAAAGCTTGTATTGATGCTGGAAAAAATACCTGAATATATAGCACAGATCTTGCAGGTTTCTCACTGTCTGAGAAAATTATAGCAAATAAGGAAGAAAGCTGGAATGAACCTCACGTTGTTAGATTGAAATTGAAGAGACCCATATGAACCTAACATTTTATTTATAAATATAAATATATATTTTTCTGTGTATATGTGTGTTTGTACATCTGCATATTTGCATAAATAGATAAATGTAGAAATAGATGTCTACATGTCTGTGAATGCATACATATATTTACTAGCTCTCTCTGCTCAAAGAGCTTAGGGCAATGATACCACAGATCCGGTAAGTTTAGAATTTGGTTTTTAAATACTGTTGTCCTGTAAAAAGAACAGGAGTTTTGTGGAGAAATGATTGATTTCAGGACTAGTGGGACAAGTAAAGATGCACCAGAGATATTCTGTGGAGCCAGAAACTAAGGAAACACAAATGATGGAGACATGTTAAATAGAAATGGGATCATACTAATAGAAGCTCCAAAAATGTAAAACAGTTTGAGCAACAAAGTAAGTCACTATTGCAATGGATCTAACCTATGGAATAAAATAATAATCCATGACATGAATAAACCAATTAATAAGTAGGAGAGAAGAGAAAACTCTTTCTGACAGTAGAATTCCAACTAATACATGTAGAAGGAATGATGGAATAGAAAGTCCTCTTTAATCACATGGTAATAAATATTTTAGGGAAAAATTAATTAATAGTAAAGTTAATGGATAAAAAACTCTGGTAAAAAACAGGTGATTTACATATTGGAACTTACTAAGTATAAAGGATAAATAGTAACTGTTCAGTGGAGAAGCCTGGCAGACGTGACTTTATGCAAGTGCCTCCTTGTGCACCGAGAAGGACATATCACTTCTTCCTGCCAATAATGCATAACTTGAGTTTAATGATATGAAACACCAAACAAGCACCAACTGAGGGATATTTTCTGGCCAGTAGTCTCCAGGAGTGTCAAGGTCATGAAAGGGAAGGTGACTTAAGAACTGTCCCAGGTTAAAGGAGACCAAGGAGACATGGACACGAAATACAGCTAGTCACCTGGATAACAAAAAAGGACATTGAGAAGATGGTGAAATTTGAATAAGGCTCATAATTAATGCCGACACTATTATCTAATTTCCTGATTTTATCTGGAAATCTGGATTTCCAAGATGTTGATATTTTAGGAAGATGAGTGAAGGATATGTAGAAATTTTACTATTTTTGCAATGGTTGTGTAAACCTGAAATTATTTGAAAATGAAGTTACTTAAAAAAATAAGCCCAGATTTTGCTATGTGTTACTCATGTGTTGAATGACAACTAATAAATCTGTCACGCAAATATTGTGATAGCTTGTGACTCAATAGGATATTTTTAATGGACATCACACCCACCACATTGTTTCAGGTTGATTTACACATGACAATTAAAAGTAATAATCTGCACTCCGAGATGGGGGAAGACATAATGCATTTATCATATTTCAATGTGGTATGAGGTGGTTGACATTCTTCATAATGTATCCTGAATAATTGACTTAGATGTTCAAGGGTAGGAAGGTTTTTATCTCAGTGCTTTCATTTATATGAGTGGCAACCCAGTGTGGGATGAAGATTGAATCTCAGCGCCAAGAAGTTTGAAATAGGAACATTGGAAAGGGTGATCATTTGTGAAGAGAGTTTCCTAGCCACATTACTCAATGGCATTAAACTCGTAGGGTTTAACCCTTCAGTACGGGAGAAGAAGATGGTAGCTCGTGTATTATAACGCCCCCTCTGACAACTCTGCTAGTCCCATTAATACTCTTAACACTTACTGCTAAGCATTAATCCTAAGAATTCATCGTGTTCATCATTTCTGCATTACAGGATAATATAAACATAGATGAAGCCGCCCGGTTCCTAGTGGAGAATATTCTCGCAAACCACCAAAGCTTTCCTAGTGAAGAAAACGACCAGGACAAAATTAAACTGGATCAGGAGACCTTGAGAGCAGAGAGCAAGTCCCAATGTTGCTGACATGGCTTCCGGCCTTGCACCTTCCAGCACCTTCTGCACCTTCCAGCGTGCAGCTTGACTGGGCTGGAGCCAATCCCGAGAATGGATAAGGTGGCGGCTGTGCTGCTCTGTGGATCTTCCCAGGGCTGCACGTAAAACGAATGCACCGGTTTTCCTTCAGGTTGTTGAGATGTTTCTCCTTGTACAGAACAACTGCGATGGCACCCCGGGAGCCCACGCTGACATGGGGCGTGTGGTCAAGTGGCTCTGCCGGCGACCCCACACCTTAACGCAGGAACACTTAGGCCCCTATGGAGGTTGCCATGTAGTCAGGATGATGTTTACGTCTTCTTTAACCTCTTTTTAAAATGATGCTCCCTCAGGATTTGGTAAGACTTTCTAGTTGTGCCTTTTAGTGGAAGCTCTGTGTTGGTCATGAAACCCGACCTGAGGTCTTCCTGTAATATTATGGGCTTGTGTTTTCATCTCCACGTCCCATGCTCTCCAGGGAGGCTGTCGGCTCTGTTAGTCACAGAAAGCTGTTTTGCAGTTCTTTTTCTACTTAAAACTTTGATACTTCCTGTAAAATTGTTATCGTCACATCTTATAATATCATTAGTCCTCGCTAGCGTGGTGTGCCCTGGCTGACGACACAGGTGCACTGGCGTCCTTGACCTCACAGGCGCACTGGCGTCCTGGCTTCTGGTTGCTGCCAGTTGGAAACAATATAAATGAACATCCCTTCTCTCCTTTTACTTCCTTGTGTTTATTTTTGTATCTGAGAGCCTGGCCGTTGTTACTGCTGCAGTTCTAACTGGAGCTAGTCTTTTCAAATCTCTGTTAGTTATGGTAACAGAGAAGCTACATCAAAGCATATACAATTAAATATGAGATTCTCTAAATATGAGTTGTGAAAGAAACTAGACCATGTGTAGTTTTTATGTAAAGTTTTGGACATTTAAAAGTATAACACATGAGAAACTTAGGGCAGCCTCATCCTATTTGTATTACCATTTAACCCAGTTAAGGAAAAGAATAAATATTTTCACTTAAACCCTTTTTTTAAATTAATGTGGTTCTAGAAAGGTAAATGGAGTATACTTTTCTGCCTCAGAAAACTCCATGTCTGTTCACATCTTCCTTTTGTTTTTAAGGGATTGATTCCTTCTGAAAGGTCCAACTTTTTTCTTTCAAAAAAGGAATTTTAACAGTGTTTGTGACATAATCTAAAGCTAATGCAGATGAGGCATTGACCAAATTGTCTTATACATTATTATGAACACAGGATAGGAAAGATCCACGCATTTATTGACAGCAAGAAATTAAAAAAAAAAAAAAAACTGGCAAGAATTGCCTTTGCTCTGACAGGTGTATTCTGGGAATAAATAGTTGACATGGGCCATAAAATGTAGTTTGCTTTTCTCATTAAGTCTAAGTTTTGCTTAGGAATCACAAAGGTGTTTATATGCTCTGCATTTAAGTCCATAAGCTCTTTGATATTTTGGGACAGGTATTCTATATAGGATCAGATTTTCTGAAGTTAAGGAATACAAAGAAGACCCTTACTTAAATATTACTCATCTTAATAGTTAATGTAGTCCATGTTAATTTTTTAAAAAGTATTGCATTAAATCTTTCTAAGAAACCAATGTGTCTAAGATGTTTAAACCTATACTCTATACTCTAAAATGTTTTCTCGTCTTGGTACCAAGTACAACTTCTTCATCTTTCTTTAATTCCAAAGTCAAATAGTATTAGCAGTATGAAAAAGTTGGTGCCAAACCTAAATGTTAGAAATATAAAGCTCATTCTGAGTGGTGGCTGAAAGCGACAAGAAAATTCTTGGAATTTTCTTTTTTTACATATTGATTTTCATTTTTATAAGCAGTTCATGTTTAAATGAGCAGCAGATTCAAAATCAGGAGTATTGGACTTTGTCGGATTTGTTATCTTAGGATAATGATAAGGATTGAGCGTACCTTATGTAACGATTTCTGGATAAACACTTAGGGTTCCTTATGTCAATGTGTGACAGTGTATTCTGTTTATCATTTCTTACACTTTAGAAGTAAAGCTGAGGATTTTGCCTTACTCCTAAATTCTCACTGCAATTTGTTTTTGTAACTTGAACATAAAATTTGAATTTCGGGTAAGCTACATAAATGGCCAGAGGAGAGAAGAGAATATTTTGACTTACTAATTCACTTTAATTGCTCACTGAAAATTCCTGAACCTCACTTCAGACTTAAATAGTTTTCTATTTAAATAATAAAATGTTATTGAGATTGAAATCTATAGCATTACCTAAAACATGAACATTTTTTAAAATATAGCACTTTTATCTCCGATTATGTATCAGTGTTAAAGAGTCTAGACACCTGGAGCACCTGGGTAGATCAGGAGGTTAAGCATCTGACTCTTGATTTCAGCTCGGGTCATGATGTCATGGTTTGTGAATTCAAGCCCCAAGTCAGGCTCTGTGCTGATGGCATGGAGCCTGCTAGTGACTTTCTCTCTTTCTCTCTGTCTCTTTCTTTTTCCTGCTGTCTCTGCCCCTCACCTGCTCACACATTCTCTCTCTCAAAATAAATAAATTAACTTAAAAAATATCTAAACACTTTAAACTATGGACAAACAGTATAAATCTGCTTTCATCCACTGAAAAATATGGAGGCATAAGGGTTCTGAGTGGCTGGACTAGTCTCTAAGTAACTGTACAATTGGCTAACCTTTGAAAAAATAGATACATTTGGTTACATCAATGTCATGTCTAAGAAGAGGATATAAGCAAAATTCTAACAAGCAACAGAGAAAAGAAAATACTTGCAACCCATTTAATTGGGTGAGAGTCAATAAAACAGGATCATAAAAAACTCTAAAATCATGAGTAAAAATGGGCAAAGAATGTAAAACCAGAATTTTCAGAAGAGACAATTAATGTGTCAAACCTTGGCTACCAGGAAACATAAAAAAATGAAGCAAAGTATTTTCATATTCCGTAAGAAATGTGGAAGTTTGATTATATCCCCACTGCTGGTGAACATACAGGAAAATAGGTGTTCACCTTCTATTAGACCAGTTTTGGTTTGAAAGATTCCTCCAAGTTTCCCTCCAGTGTTGCTGTGCCCTTGATACTCTGTGCCCACATCTTGCAGAGAGGCAGAACTGCTGTCGTTGAGGAAATGACATTGGAAACAAAGTCTCCCATCCGGAAGACACAAAGGTGGAAGAGGAAGAAAGCCATGCTATTGAATAAGTGTGAAGCCAGAACGCTGCACCAGGGGCCGTCTCTAAGAGATTGTAAAGCCCCTTTGGTTTAGTCCAGCAGATACAGCCCACTGCATGCTTGTTCCATGGTAAACCAGGTAAACTAGGGTTTGTCCTCAGGTAAGGGGACTTGGCAGCACCATTTGTCACAAGCAGTTTATCCTAAATGCACTTGATAACCGGGGTGACCCTCTGTATTAGCTCATTGGCTTTATCCAGCGGGAAAATAACTTTTCGTGTCTTCATGGCAGGAGGTAGTTGTGCATGTTGGTGTGAGATTTCTCCCCGGCACAGAAATTGGGACATAGGCATGCTATTTCTCTTCATAATTCCATTCCAAAGAGGCTCTCAAAGATGTCCTTGAGGTCTTCATTAGCTTTAAAAAAAGATTTAGGTACATATCAAAGAGACAGAGAAAGAATGTAGGAGTTTTCAAATGTAAACACTCTAAGAAAATGAAGGAGAATTAAGCTTCTTATTTTAATTTGTATTTGCCCTTACTATCCAACCTGAGTAAACATTTGCTTATGTAACAAGGAATAATACAGAGAAGACCGACCGTTTACTATAGCATTGTTTGGATATGCATGCATACATGCATACAAAAAAAAATAATAACAGTAATCTATATACTTTTCTATAGGGTAAAATAAAATGGAAAATTGTATACCCATATAAGAGATGCTGTGCAGCAGTTTGTAATATTTACAAAAAAATGTATTCACGGAGCACCTGGGTGGCTCAGTCAGTTAAGTGTCCGACTTTGGTTCAGGTCATGATCTCACAGTTTGCAGGTTCAAGCCCCGCAGCACCTCTGTGCTGATAGCTCAGAGCCTGGAGCCTGCTTCTGATTCTTTGTCTCTCTCTCTCTCTCTCTCTCTGTCCCTCCCCTGCTCACACTCTATCTCTCTCAAAAATAAACATTAAAACAATTTTTAAATAAATGTATTAAGAATTTATGGGGCGCCTGGGTGGCTTAGTCGGTTGAGCGTCCAACTTTCGCTTAGGTCATAATCTCGCGGTTCGTGGGTTCAGGCCCCGCGTCGGGCTCTGTGCTGACTGCCAGCTCAGAGCCTGGAGCCTGTTTCAGAGTCTGTGTCTTCCTCTCTCTCTGATCCTCCCCTGCTCTCTCTCTCTCTCTCTCCTAGAAATAAAAAAAAAAAAAAAGAATTTAAATGCTGCATAAGCCATTCAGAAAGGTAAATACTAAGTTCCTAATTGTAATTCCTGGCAGTAAGAATTGTGGATGTCAGTTAAGGCTGACTTGAGCTTTTTAGATAATGTCTACATTTTTATGGTGCAATTCATTTTACTGTAGTAAGTATATGTCTTACACTATCACTGGAATCAAGGCGTATTCCCATTTGGAACACAATACTTTAAAAGATAATAGGGGCTTCTGGGTAGCTCAGTCGGTTAAGAATCAGACTCTTGATTTCTGCTCAGCTCATGGTCTCAGGGTCATGATCTTTTGCTCCACCCTGGCTATGGAGCTTGTTTAAGATTCTCCCTCTCCCTCGCTCTCTTCCCCTGCCCCACTAACACTCTCTTCCTTAAAAAAAAAAAAAAAAAGAAAAAAAACAAAGAAAATAAAATTAAAATAAAAAACTTTGAATTCTCTTTATACTACATTTATTTTTATTTTTAATTCCTTTTTTAAAGGTTTATTTATTTTTGAGACAGAGACAGAGCACGAGCTGGGGAGGGGCAGAGAGAGAGGGAGACACAGAACCTGAGACAGGCTTCAGGCTCTGAGCTGTCAGCAAAGAGCCTGACACAGGGCTCAAACCCACGGACCTGAGCCCAAGTCAGATGCTCAACTGACTGAGCCACCCAGGCGCCCCTACTTTTTGCTACATTTAATAACCATCAATGATTTTGTCCTTCTCAGATATTACATATACATGTTTACTCCCTAAATCATTTTACTTTCCTAAGATTAATAGCTTGAGTTATTTAGCTCAGAGTTAAAAATGTACATTTGCGTGGGATAAATTTTAGTTGATATTCATTCTAGCCAGTGTGCAATAATAGACAGGAACAGGCTTCATAGGCATGTGAAATCGTATCAACTACCCATTTCTTTTATCCAGGATTTTGTTTTGAAAGATGAATCTATGAAGCCACCATTCTTATTTCTGATTCTTCCCGTTCTGTGTGCCTGGTGGGAGAGGAGGTAGGATTGTGGGTAATAAAGGTTCAAGTTGCATATAAAATACTGCTGGAACTGTGCACATACTAGTCATTCAATCTCCTGTCTCCCCAAAGTCACCTGAATGCCATGTGGTATTGTCCTGCAAGTCTGTGAATGTTTCTCAAGCCAAACCCATTATCTTTCAATCTTCCCACTGCCAAACCCACTCTAGAGGCTTAAGTGTTTATAGATTATAATTTAAATAAATTTTGTTTATGTTCATTCTAAGTTAACACGCAGGGCTATCTTTTAGTGGTAGGATTATCTCGCTGATGTTTTTGAACCCCACTATATTTCTAGCTGTCATTTTCCTCCTTTTATGAAAACTTTGCTTTTGAGTCTTTAGTGTAGCTTTAGTCGTGCTGTTAAATTGTGATTTGAAAGCTTGCAGAACTTTAAAGGAATACAATAATCGCTTTAAGTAAAGTCTTGTAATAATCTGGCTTCAATTTCAATTCAACATACTACTTCACTGTCTATCTGAGGTTTAAGGATGAAATTCTGTGGATTTCTTTTCTTTTATTGATTACAAACTTAGGTAGTCTCCAAAACTTTTCTCTTATGGAAATGTAGTAAAGTGCTAAAGTACTTTCATTCTGGTTTGCTTCAGAATGATTTTAACAGCTGGGAGTGGGATCTAAGTTTTCAGAGTATAACACCTTTAAAAATTGAATATATTTTTTTACTCTAGACTCCTTTTTTGGTACTATTGAGCATATGTCTATCCAGTCCTATTTAACAGGAAGACGGTTTAATATAAATGCAGTACACATTCCTAATGACGTGTAGTTTGTATAGTTGACTCTATAAAGAAATGAATTATGGTTAAAATAGGAACTGATGACAGGAAAGAAGTGTAAGCCATTCTTCAGGCACACATAATACTAATCATACCCTGTTCTGAAATAATAGTCACTGCTAACCAGAAATCAGTTTATGTTCAAACATTTAAAGACCTGTCACAGTATAACATAAAGACTGAACATTAAATTGATGTTAAGTTGAAAATTCTGTGTTCTGGTAGTTTAAATTTATATATGAAAATATTCCAATATTTTCTTACCATCCATTTCTACTTAACTATAAACAGAGCATGAAGCGGATACTTTACTCTGTAGCAGGCTTTTAAGGCACTACACAACTCAATGAAAGACCCTAAAGAAGAATTTACTTCATGTAAATTTTAAGATGGCTCTAGGCTGAATCAAACTCAGCTGAGAGTATATGAAATCCACTCCTGTACCCTACTCCTTGAACTCATTATTATTTAAGATTATCCTGAATTGTGGGTGCCAGACTCTGATGTCATGTGATAACTAACCCTTTACTAAAAGTGGTGGGCATGCATAGGGATGAACTACCATTGAAAGGTTAGCACCAAAATCCTGTCCTTAGGATTCAAGAGAGGCAAGTAAAGGCTTTCCTTCTTCTTTAATTCTCCATGTCATAAGTCAACAGATAAAGAAGGGAAACTGAGACTTTATTTCTTCCTTAACCAGTTGGAGAAGCTTCCAAATGGCTACTGCTAGTAGTGATATTTTTGGAACTCCTTAATATAAAAGAGTGAGTCTCTCTTTTAACCTTTACTAAATAATATGTTTGTAAGTATGTTTTGAAGCCTTTTTGTTCTTTTCAAACCAAAGTTAATGGTGAACTTGAGAAGAAAATGAAGCAGGTCTGTCCAACAGAATTATCTATGAGCTTCTGGACCCACTCAGTCTGCTTTGATTAGAGAATTAGCTAACTCCCACCAGGTCCTTACATGTGATTGTTTATTCTGTTTCCATCCCCAAGTTTTAAATAAAATGTCCAATATATCATGGTTAGTGA